TTCGGAAAACTTGCTTATTCGTCTAAATAGCGTCAAATAACAAAAATAAATGAAAATAGCGCTGAAAAACTATGAAAATAACGATTTTTTATGATTTGTTTACATTCTAGATTCTGATTGGTATTGTCGAATTTGAATCAATCTTTTCTGAAAAGACGCTTATTCGTCAACATAATGTCATTCAAACTAGAAAAAACTAACCAGAGTTCAAAAAGAAATGTACAAAAAGCTATAACAACCAATAATTTACAATAATTATCTCTCCATAGACTAAGAATAGAAAAAAATTTTTTCGCAACAAATTTTTTATTATTAAGTTGGACCAAGAAAATTAATACTGTAGTTGGAATAGAGTCATTATGAGTAAAAGGAAGCCGTTTGCACTAAAATATTTTGGATTTAATAATTATTACAAACTGCTTCAAGCCATAATCTTGTCAACAAAGAGGGTTGTAAAATGATTCCGTGTAGCTAGAAAGCTGCGGTTTCTTTTGTTTGAAAGAAAAAGATATACAGTAAAACCTGTCTATGGCGACCACCCACGGTTCCTTCAAAAAGTGGTCTTTTAGACAGGTGGTCGTCCAATACAGTGGTCCTGTAATAACGTATTTCCGTACGTATTTTGCGCACTTTTTAGCCATTTTTACTAAGCAAAACTCGAGGTGAGCAAAAATAAGCGAATTTTTTCAACGATAGGGCTATATTAGTATTGTATTTTATTTTAAAGATTGATACAATACTCGCATTTTCTCAATTATAATGCACATTTTCTTTTTTCCGACTTAATTAATTCGACTCGGTTCTTTTCGTTCTCTCCTCAGTTACGTGTATTACGTCATCAATATACAAGCGTGTCCTATCTCTCCATCACTTTGCTTTTGGTTTTCGTTAGTTTAATCTTATTTTAACTTTAAAAATACTGTATTTTTTAAATATTTAATATTTTCTTAATTAATTAAGTACAATAAGAAAAATTATTAATTAATAATAAAACGATTTTATTATTTTTTCT